ACAGTCTAAACAAGTAAACAGGAAGGCCAAAACTAAACTTTAGAGGCGTGCCTCAATAAATAAGCCAAATGATTTATCCAGAAGAATTTGGAATGCCATAGGTTTAATTTAGTGTACTGGGAGAACGAATATATATATACACATGTATGCAAGCTACAACACAAGCTGTAGATGCACAAATACACAGACGGGCACTGGTAAATGAATCGGCAAATAGTGAGTTCATGTACAAAGATGGATGAAAAGATTCTTACAGACAACTCTCTTGATATAGGCCGTGGTTTCCACACGTCTGTACTGACACCATTCAAAGTTAATTCCTGACACGTCTTGGGTAACTTCCTCTTCAAGTACGTTGCTGGTGGCATCTGTTTAGAAAGTACTTTCTCAAACGACAGACCAACAAAAAATTCCATCCTCTTCAGAGTTGATAAAGAACTTAACCTTGCACAAGGATCTTTGCACAGTAACTTATGGAGCAAATAGAATTAATGTGTTAAGTGTGGAGCTATTGATTTGTGATTAAAGCCAGCCTCCGGCTGCAGCTAGATTTTTAAATAGCCTATTTAGAAACTGGGGAAAAATGGGTGTAACCACCCTTTTTTCAACCTTCTTCCCCCAGTTTTTAAATATTAAAAAATCTGTATATAATACCATTGTAAATTTAAAAAGCTGAAAAATTGTGCCCTATTTAACAAAAATTAACATTCAGATATTCTCACATCATTCAACATCACTGTGTGTGAACATTTTTCAAATGAGGAAGGGAAATGTCGGATGATGTCGTGTGGACAAAAGTGGGTTATATCAATACATTATATATAATTTTATGAGAAACTTGGAAGTACCAACGAATTGCTGATGAATAACTAGGCTAATTTAATTTATTTAAATAAAGTAATCAAGATATCTTACCTGAAGAATGATATCTTGTGCAGGATAGCTGACAAATGGAGGCAATTTGAATTCTTTGGCCATAACCTTATTATACATTTCGATGTGATTGGTCGATCCACTCAATGGATATTTACCAGTCATCAAGCAGAACATAATGATGCCTAGCGACCACCAATCTACCCGATGGTCGTAGTCTACCATATTTAATACTTCTGGAGCTGTTGAAAAATATTAACTACTGTGTATTCAAAAACGAAATTATCGTCACATTCCTACGATAATAAAATATGACATAAACAAAAAAGTGTAGAGAGAAAAAAAAAACTACTTTTAATACAGCTTTTTTATGAGGATTAAGATCTGTCTTGATAACAAAAACAGTTATAGGAAAAAACTATATAAAAATGTTTAGGTTTGTTAATGAAAAGACAAAAAAAAAACCAATTTAAATGAGAATAAATATAGAATTTTAATTTATTTAGGCATACTGTACTGTACAACAAATACATACATGTGGTCATACAATATAGGGCTGGCTTTAAAGCATTTTTAAAAATAAGTTGCTAATATCAAATTACTCTCATGAAATAAAAATTATGAAATACAAAACGTAAAACATTACAGAGGATTTTAATATAAGATGAATATTGTATCATGCCTGCTACTGCCATAAATTTCCTAATAAAAAATCATGTCTTCTTCACAATTAAATAAATGTAAAGCATTTATCAATTAGATTCCTGAACAGTATTGCAACATAGCATTTTTTACGACCATGTGATGGATCTCAGAAACCTCTATTACTATTTTTTATCGCATACATTCATTTTTTTTTTATTAGTCAATAAAATTCTATTTCCGCCTCTGCCCAGATTTTCTGGCAGAAACGTTTTGGTAAATGACTGAGTCATTCAATAAATTGTCAACTTATCATTCCAACAACACAAAAATTCATGGTTATGGTTTTACCACTAAGAAATAAAAAATAAACAAAAAAACATATTAATCATAAAACTATAAAAAAACATTTAGAATATAAGCTGAAATCAAGTTGAAAATGTTAAAGACCAAACTTTTGCAGTATAAACTATTCATTTTACTTCTATTAAAACAAATGAAATATTAGATTGAACCAAACCTTTTGAAAGCCAAATTACTATAAAATTGGATGAGAACAAAATAAAAAGTTGGCAGCACTGGTGGAATAGGCCTAAGACTAAATTTTCTTTGATTTTTTCCCCCTGATCATTCGATGTGTATTTATCCTTGTTTTCATGCTAAAAAATGCTCTCTACTCTTAAACGACTGTGATGTAGTTTGAAGGCAACTTACATTTGTATGTGCTCAGGGGCGGATCCAGTAGGGGGACGTGGGTAACGTGCCCCCCGTTTTGCTACTATATCAAAGTTATGTGCTACTCACCTATTCTGAAACTGTTGTGACCCTCCCCTCCCCTCTCCCCGTATGAAAAATTCTGGATCTGGCCTTGGCGCTTAAGGACACTTGTACATGGTTCAGAGCAGACACCGTGGCTAGTGTACCACTAGTTTACCTAAATGACTTAATGTAATATGTTACCTCATGAAGGTGGTAAATTAATTAGTCTTACCCATATACATTAGCGTTCCGCAGACACTGGATGTCCTCAAACCTTGCTTCAGCCACTTTGAAAGCCCAAAATCAGATAGAAGGATGTGGCCTCCATCATCTAGTAAAATATTCTCCATCTTAAATGAATATAAAAATAATACTCTAATGAAATTTAAAATTATATATGACACTAATGACATTAATAACAAAATGAAATCCAAAAAATAATTGTAATTACTTATTATAAAATTATATTCATTGAGAAATAAGATTGTGTAAACTAATGTATGTTGTTATGGAAAAAAAATAAACATCTTAATGTCTCCATGTTTGACATAGCCGTATTTTACATCGTAAGTAGCAGGTAATGACAAACTATGATGTTTAGGCTCTGTGATTATTAAAATGGCAGTTGTTAGTACTGTGGTTTAAGCACAATTTTTACCAGCTAAAACATAAAATCCCCCAATTATTACCCAACCAGCAGTTTATTTCAGGACTATGAATTTGGGCTACTACAGCAGTAGTTTGAAGTATTTTCTTAAAAATACAAGATGAAAACATGACAAAAATAAAAATCCTTAAAACTAATAAAGAAAAATGTTTTTAGTTAGTGTTAAAGGGTGAACTGCAACTACATGTCAAGCATTATAATCTCATTGAACTAAATGAAAAAAATGCTAAATATTGGTCACACTTTGTCCTTTCATAGTAATAAGTTTAAATGCAATAAAATGTAGAGGTTGCAGTTAAATATCTGACATATTAATAAATCAAAATTAAAAAAAAAGAATGTAACGGTAAGAATGAATGATATATCAATTCATAATGATGAAACATTTATGTTGTAAAATCATTATCAATCATCTCTAGTTGGAGTAGGGCTGCAGTGTCGCAGTTCCAGGATCCTGTGATTTCAGTGGCGTAGCTAGGTGCTAAAGGGCCCCAGTGCAAGATTAATTGTCAGGACCTTTGATGTGGAAGGAGGTTTTTTTCCCCTCAATTTTGAAAAAAATTGGGGGTTTCGTTGGCTGGGGCTCCCTGAATATACACCACTGAATTGAATCAACATAGTAATCGATAGTTACTCCTCTAAAAACTAAATATTATTGAGGGGCCCGCTAGCTGTTTTTTCCCCTTCAAAATTAAGTTATTATTATTAATTAATTAATTATTTTAAATTATTATATTTAGGTCTATTTATGAATGGGCCCCTAATAGCCTTGGGCCCCAGTGCTTTGCACTGGCTGCACTGCCCGTAGCTACGCCACTGCTGTGTTTAAAATCTGTCAAAACATTTTCCTTTCTATCACTGTCTATGACTGCACTCCTTAAACATGATGGCACTTAAGTCGGGCACGCCTTATAGCATCACATTCTTTATGAAATCGCGTCTGATGACTGATGACGCAGCTGTGTGTGTCCGGCTTTATAGTGAGTTATAGATCATCCCTTCCATCTTGTAAGTGATGAGCTACTCACAGACATATAAGAAATTTTAAAAATTACATCATAAATACTCATCATTGTCTTGTAATTTATTATCAATTTTAATTTCCCTGGAAATTTTTCTTCAGTCTAGATTAAAAAACAGTAATATTGTTGAGTAATAATCTGCATTAATTTGAAATCGCAAGAGCTTTGTGTCAGCATTTGACGTAAATGATCACTGTATGCTTATAAAAATTTTGGTCAAAGAGATTCTGCTTACGTCCCGATGCTGATCAAAGTAATATTAAAACTATAAGTAGTGCTTTAACACAATTACAAGCACACTGTTGGAAATTCCAAATAAAAAAAATCAAAAAATGCAGGGTTAAATTGAAAATTTACTTTGGCCCTCTAACCCATTTTTATGGCTAACCCCCGTAAAAGCTCGTTCCCCAGACCCCTCCCCCATTGAAAATGTTTGATGAAAAAAAAACATGCTCAAATAAAATTCATCTCATATTCCCTCATATTAAGAGCTAGTGCATCCTCATTTAATAACCATCCTCACTTAATAACCATCATCCTACCACTTCAAGACTCCATGCATTATAAAGTACTATGCTGTTACGTCATGATACCATGTGATACTACTCTGATGCTATCAGCGACCCAAAATGCGGTCAACCGGATCCATTGTCTCCACTGACAAACCACTGATCCCAATTTTTAATGTAATTATTAAGATTTTGTATCTTAATTTTTCTTTGTAAATTTTAATTGATGATTTGATTGATAACTAATATAATGCGAGCGCTTGTGTTTTTAGTACATTTTGATGGCAAATTATTAGGTTTTAAAATGCCTATTCCAGAAAGCCTATCCTAAACCATTAAGATTATGAAGTCATTCAGGCGTAATGACCGCTTTATCAATGGTAACCAACGTCTGGTTGACAATAAAGGGCGCCACCTGGTGTTGTGACGACACGAGTGTTGTACTCTATAAGAAAACATACATTTTAGTATATACAATTATACAGTGGCACTAAATTTGCATTGTTTACACTGTGTTTTATTGTTTGATAAAAGCTTTAGGTATTTTAAGTTTACTTTCTCTTAATGTACCAGTATTTTAAGTAATTTTATTATATTGTATATGTAATTTTTAGTGAGTTTATCTTTTCTATTGTAAAGTAAGTATTTTCAGCCCTTGGCTGTCTTCTTGCTGTTTTTACACTGAAATAAATAAATAAAAAAAAAATTATATGCACTATTCCTTGAGAAGCACTATCCCTCAGGATTTATATAAACTAATATTTAATATATTACCTTTAAATCTCTATATATAATTCCTGCCTTATGTAAAAATGCCAAAGCCATTGCAATCTCAGCAATGTACAACCGTGTTGCTATCTCACTAAAAGCGCCCTCTAGCAACCAAAGACTGTGAAGATCACCATGAGTGGCATAATCCATTACTGTATATCAAACAGAAAAAATACATAACATAACATTAGTAAATAATGTCAACAACCAATTTATTTTAATATCATTAAAAAAAAATGATGTACTGATTTTAAAGATATATAGCATGAACAAAATATGCTAACATTATTGGTAATATTTTATTATAAAATCATAAAACTAGAAGACAAAAAATCTGATGACGACAATGATGATAGTGATTACAATGACGGTGATGGAGGAAATGTCGATAACCATTTAGAATTATAATGTGGACACTTGATGATAATAATAATTTGCACTTATATAGCATATATAAGGACTGCCTCTATGTGGCCTACATCAACTAAAGGGATTTTGAAGTAAAAAAATAGGCTCAACCACCCGCAACTTTTTACAGCGCAGCAAAAGCCATGTTCAGTGCGCTCAAATGTAAAAGAGACAAAAAGAATCCAACAGAAGCTAAAAATGATGAAACAAATATTCAACAAAATATTCCATGATTTACCTAAAAAAATTAACAATTAACTTTTGTAAATAGGATTCAATAAGATACCACAATCTTATAGATGTCAAAATGAATGGAGTTATCAATAGCAAAACCTAACATGGATTCAATCCAGTTATCACTTGATTACTCTTCTTATGACACAGAAATTAAAGCAGGATTGTAAGTTGACACTTCACTCTTGCTATTCAGTTCATACATTCAATATTTACATGATTTTGACACATATACAAATTCATACATTTTTCAGATGAACATCAGTCAACTGTAGCAGTTTATATCAGACAATGTGATTGGATGAGCCATCCATTTGAAGAAGACTCAGTAAATCTGATTGGACAAGGCAGGGAAGGTAGTATATCATTATAGGTATTATGGATTTTGATTGAGGTACCAGATTGAAAATAAAAGCGTTTCAAAAAAATTCAAGTTTGAAAGACGATGACATTGTTTCTCCAATGGTTCTGTCTGGCACCAGACTTAGATTGTCTATAGTCGTTGTGGCGTGAAGTATTCAATAATTTGATTAATAGGTCGGTCAAATGAATGAGGGCAATCAATAAGTCAAAAGGAAATGAGGACATGTAATAAGAAGCATATTAGAGGAAGACGGTATGAGATGACAGTAATCAATGGTGTAAATGGAGTGATGAGGGAGAAATGTCAGTCTGTGAATTGATTAGCAATGTAGACAGGTATAAACTATAAGCCTATTGTTACAAAGCAAAGTGCCAGGTAATGGATAATTAACAATACGGTCAGATGAGGAGATGATAATTATGATGATGATGATAATGGCATTGATAATGTTGAAAATAAAAATGTAATGGATGAGGTGTATCAATGATGATAATGTTAATAACGATGATAATAGATGATGATGATTATGCTGATGATGATAATGGTGACGATGATAGATGATGGGATGATGTGGTGATGATGACAATGATGATTATGTTGATGATGATGACAATGATAATAATAGTAATGATAAAGATATTCATGATGAAGACAAAGGTGTTGATGACAATGATAATGATAATGATGATGATGATGATGAAAATAATAAGTCAAAAACCTGTATTACCTAATAGGAAAGGTTTATAAACTTAATGATAAAATTATTGTTAAAAATATATATTTTGTATTTGCTTTGAGAGCAGCTTAGCTCAGCCGGCTAAACTGGTAGTAGTTACAGCGTGTGTGCTGAACCGTGGAGATCTCTAAGTCCCTGGTACAATTCCCATCACTGCTCTCCTTGGGGTTTCAGTTGAGGGCTGATCCCATTTGCATTATGGCCTGAGAGCACGTTGAAAGAATGCAATACACTATTCGGAAAAGAGTAGGTGATTGTCTCCTGTGTACTGACCAATCACTACCAGAAGGACTTCACTGGAAAAAGTCCTTCTTTAGACTATTGTGGGTTATCCTTGGTGTTTACACCAAATAAATCCATCCATTTAAAAGCTCTCATCAGAAATTCACCTTTTCCTCTCTCAACAGTTCTATTCTTTTAACCTTTGCCATTCACTCTTTAATTTCTATCTTGTTTCTGCCAATTGTCTATTAAAATTTATATTTCATAAACATAGTTTACTAAAAAAAAAAAAACCATGACCATTAATACTTTTTACTACCAGCACTTAAACAGATTAAACAATATAAAGTACCGTAATGTAAATTTAAGACTTAAAAAGCATTTTACTTTTAAAAAATAACCACAATGGCATATTATACAGCTATAAATTAATGTTGTCACCTATTTATTGTCATATTCTGAATGTAATGTAAAATTTCATTACCTCAGATACTATGAGTCACAGTGAATAGTTTTTCTGACGTATTTGTTTATATTATATGTCTTAATGTGGGTGAATTTCATTTCAGGATTAAGCGACAAATAAACCGTTTCAGGAGCTTACTTACAACAATAACATGACCTACAAAGTCTAGAAGTTATGATGGACAGACACTATGTAAGCTTTGTTATCTATCAGTGCAGATCCAGGATTTGACAGAGGGGGTTCAAAATTTTTCCAAACCCCCTGGATCCACCACTGTGTATAATTATGTGATATGTCTACATGTTGCCGCTCATATCCTCATTACAGGATTTCAGGAAGAAGTAGAACTAATAATGATGCGACGTAATAGGGTTGTGAGGAGAAATAGGGATCAAACCCAGAGTCCTGCAAATGCATTGCAAGGCATCTACTTTAACCACAAAACCACAAGTCACTTCAAAGAAATCTGGTTTAAAGAGCTTTTTTAATACATCTGAGTTTTGAGAAAATAAAATTATTATGAATTAATATGAATTGCATTATGATGTGTATGTGTGAAACCCATTGTCAGGGAGACAATCAATAATACAGCAGTAAAAACATGCAAACATATAAATTAGCTGGATATGGGTTAGTTTCCGGGAGATTGTTGCTTGCTCAGCAGAGTGTGGGAGACATTTTCTTTTTCCAGGAGAATTAAATCACAACAGATTTAAGATCCCTGTGATCTAGTCTAATATAATTGTGTACACAAGTGTATAGGGGTGTGTATTTGGCTATATACACCAGTGCATATATTTTATTAACACTAACCTCACATATGAATCTGACATGTTATCATACTAATTGCTCCGTACATTCACAAATACCGTACTTGCGAAATAAGAAATCTTGCAAGTGATTAAGTTGGGAATGGAACCCATGAGCTTCTGAACCACTAGATCACTAGGCTTGTACTTTGTGGCTAGTGATGAAACTGATCTCCAATTAGTAGTGGGTACTACAATGCTATTCCGTTGGTTTGCATCAGGATATTTAATAGGAATTAAAAACTATAAGGCTAGATTTTCATCCTCATATGCTATTAAGACCAACCAATACCATTAATTACAAATGATGTAAAAAATGTACAAATTGTTCCAAAGCGTAATATATAAAGCTTTTGTGTAAGATTTTGATGATAGATAATATTTGTAGTAGCAATATCTAATGATCGGTACTAGGTAGCAAGTTGGGAAGCAATTGAAAAATTGTTGATGGCATGCCAACAAACCTGCCGATAAATCAAAAGCAATCCAAGTAATTATCCACATCCTGAGATTGGTGCAACTAAAGCTTCTTTAATTGGTGGAAAAAGAACAGATGAAACAGGACACCATGTGAAGTATGCTAACAAGACTCAAGAGAGAAAGAGAAACTGGTGAATTGATATGAGGCTACTAAAGTGCTTTTTATTGAAAGCTTTTAATCACAATGTAAGCTGACATCTGAAATCATTTCAAACCAATTGAGGAAGAATGTTTTAAAGATGTGATTTGGAAACAACATTTAACATTCATATTTTCAAGAATCAAGATTCAATCTTTCATATACTCATTGTTATTAGAAGAACTTTTGTTATAATTTAAAATTCCAAGCAGAACTTGATAAAACCATGACCTTATTTGGTCAAACTGTAATGGTGTTAAATCTAAATCTATACAAGTTCTTCAGAATATGCTTCCTAGAGTGGTGTTACATGCCGACATTATGACTCCAGTAAAGGCTTTGATGGATACAATGGATTGGAAAATGATTAAAGATAAATGGGATAAACATATTTTAATTATGACATTTAAATCCCTAAAATGTATAACTCCTGAATACATTTCTTCCAAATTTAAATTTACTAATGCTGTCCATTCCAAAAATACACGAAATCAATCTTCAAATACTCTAATCATCCCAATCTGGAACAATATGCAAGGAAAAAGAACTTACCTTTACAGGGCATGTAAATTATAGAATGAGCTCCCATTAGAAACTGTGTTTACAATAAGGTGAAATGCCAGAAAATTGTCAAAATGTCTTGTCAAAACAGTTACAACAGAAATGGAGAAGTCCGGAAGAAGTAAATTCGTAAGGTTAGGAAACCTTATTTAGAATCTAAATAGTGTCCTTAATCATTGAAGCTTATCTCTTACAAAACATTTCTTCCTATAAAGCCAAATCCTTAAGTATTCACCCATATAGGTAATTCTCACAAAATACAACACATACTTGAAATCTATCCATTAACCAATCTAGAACGACTGTCAAACAATTAGTGCTACACTTTCAGTCTTCTTTGATGCAGGAATTGTCTATAATAAATCACTGAGTTAGCCACCTTTGTACTTGTCAAAATAATACTTTGTGTGTGGAAATGGACACCACACTGAAGGATGGAGACCGATCAGGAGACGCATTACATGGGACGACCTGATTTGTATCAATTATCCTTGTCAGTTATGTATTTGCATCTAAATCTATCAACTATTAGAAAATATTTTGCTACAATTTGAAGATGAAATGTATGAATATTACCACAATTACACTTGTACAGTAGACATTATAGTTTATTTATCAGGCACATGAGCCAGGGATTTCCAATACCGAATAACATCACTGTCCTACTAATGAGTAGCAATCAGAGATCTTATAATAACAAGACAGCACGCTCCACAATTTACGTGTAACAAATAAAAGCATCAATGTTCAGTAAAAAGAAGCATAAAAAGTAATTATTTTTGAGAGAAGGCATCCTAGTTGTTACCTTGGTTACAGATTTTGCACACAGAAATCGCGAGATGCACTATCTTTAGTTAACGATGATTGATGTCAAAGTTGAAATGTAATCACTTTTGTGAGAGGGCGTCCCTTCAATACATTATTACAGAATTTGCATGCGCTTAGATCGTTGGTAGCAATCCCTACAAGGGGGTGTAGGCTCGGGAAGCATACAGCTCCCCCCATGATACAGCAAATTACTTCCACTAAAGTTTAAAATACTAAGTTTTCATTGGAATAGGGATTTAGTCCTGCATTCTCAATTACGCCGCTGGTTGAATATGCCTTTAACATTTCCAGCGGTGGCGCCAGAAATTTGTCGACAAGGGAGTCCGATGTCTCCGATGGAGGGGTCTGAACCAAGGTGATGACAAAGCCTCGGTCGACAGCCCAGAATAAAAAAAAACAAAAAAACTGTTAGGGTTCATGGGGAGAGTTTTTATGGCTAAATTTGGTCCTAAATCTGCTTTTAGACCACAATATTAGGGATGGGCAATCAAAATAGCGTCATTTGGATAGGCAAATTATTATATTTTTCTAATTTTTGGTCCGATGACCTGGTCGTTCGTTGGACGACGGGGTGATCCAGGCTTGTCCGACGGGCCTGCTCCCTGCTGGCGCCACCACAGAACATTTCCAGTTACTGTACCATTACAAAAACATATTATTGTATTTATTAGATGGGTATCAATGACTTACCTAAATAAAGACTTGTTTTACTCTGCCAGGCTGCATGGACCCTAACGATAAATGGATAATGGCCAATTGCTGACTGAAAAAATAAAGGCTTTTTACTATACATCATCATTCACTTGAGACTGTGTGTTTATATTAAGCATTCAATTGGTCACTGCTTGTTAGTTGTGTGAGCCAAAAGATATGGCCGGTGAGGTTCTGATGAAATTTCAAACTCCGTCATTCATCAAATATTGCTGGATATCTAAAGTTTATTTTTTTCACTTTTTTCTACTATACATAATTTATATTCTTAAAAGTGCCAATGATAAAATATTAATGTTTTTAATACTGTAAAATATAAACTATTAAAAACATTAATACATGTTTTTAATAGTTTATTAAAATATACATTTCTTAAACAATGAAATAGGTTAATTTTCATCATTATCATTAAACGAAACTAGAGCTTTTTCTTTGAAAAGCTTTGTGAGGATAGTTAGATACATTTTTAATGGTTTTCTATAATGTATCCCTTGGAATGTAGGACAATGTACTTAATGTAATAACTAATATGCTCTTGATGGCTACTCACCTGTATACTGGCCTCTTCTTTGCACTGCCTAATAGCACCATTTCTTATCACCTGCACTTTGGAAAGCACCTAGAAAAAATTAATAGTCATTTAGAGTAATAAGAAATTTAATTACTTCTCGTAACGACTTAATCTACCAGGCTTTGGCAATCAAACAACGTGAAACAAATATTGATGATTGATGGATGTGCACTGACACAAATGCATGAGTTAATTAAAACTAAGACAAAGGTCTGTGAAGTGTAAGTACTTAAGGGTTGCTTCAATCAGTTGGTATGGTACATACAGATGAAGGTTGGTATGTATACAATATGAAATTAACGGAATAATGTGTTAAGTGGCCTATTCAGATCATAGTACGATGTACACGTGGAACTATAATTAAAAGACTCAAACCATATTATGTGTAAACTGTTGGCTTGTAATATAACATGAAACAATTTCAATTTTCTGTGCTTAATTTTGGTTTATACCACAGTTGATGTATAGATAGTTTATCTTTAGATACATATAGTTGATTTACAGTTTTTATCTTGATGACAGTAATTAGGCCTATGTATTGTAGTTCTCAATTTTACATGAAATGAAGTAGAGTTTAATTGATTACATTAAAAAACAAACGTTTTCCCCCTTTCATGCCAATGCAGTTGACGTCGGTATTGCTAAAGAGGGTCTGTAGAGTATTCACTCTAGGGGGAGATGATTACAATTTTACTCCTGACGAATTGTTCTTTCATGCACAGACAAGCAAAAAATAGATAAAGCTATGCTCCACTTCACCGGGTCACTTGTATGCAGACGAAATACGGACGTTACACTGGATACCAATTAGCTAGCGTGACTCACAGCGTTTATCATGCATGCAATATAGGATTAGGTGATTGCCGACATAAAACATTGATTTCGTTATAAATTATAAAGGTGATTTAAACTCTCTAATAAATAAATTGGTATGGATACAGACCCATAAAAAAAATCTTTCTCATATACTGGTCAGAATGAGTATAAACATTTGGATGTAATCGATGGATGATATAAGGATGACAACGCATTCCATTATATGTTGCAATGATTGCTAGAAACAAGACACACGTCTACAATGACTAATAAAACCTGAACACAACTTGATTCATGTTTACTCATAAAATATGGAATTCCATCTAATAATTATAATTCGAGACATGATACTGTTTCATTCAATTATTTATATGTCCCTCCTTTGTAATACAGCACAATAAAAAAAAAACAAATATTGGAGATTGGAAAGACAAAGGAGATCGACTGAGCCAGTTTTTCTAACCTGAATCACATTTTTTGGAGAAAAGCCTATTTATTTTCAGGTTTTATCTACTGTTATTGAATAATACATTTTTTTGTGTTGTGTGTTCAAAATCCCTTTTTAATGTACAGTATGTGCAATTTTTGATTTTTACCATTTCATATTATCTAAATGATGTATTTTCATTTATAATAAAATTAAATTGTTCAAATTGAATTTAATTCTTGTTGATATCATTCAATTTAATTTAAATGCATGTTTTTTTAATTACTGTACAGAAATATCAATTGTGTGTGCTTGTTTTTAAGGAAAACAGACTGCATGTAGTTTAAGAAACAAAAATAAAATTTGGCTTCACCAAAAATGACAAGTCCAGACCTTCGCTGGTGATATACGATTGTTGCCAAAATGAATAAAAGTAAATTATTAAAAGATAACAAAACCACTTGAAAATAATACTGTCTTCATTATAATCACCATCACTCCTGGCATTTATACAGCACCTTTCTATTCAGATACAAAGATACAAAGAATATGATAAGTATATTTTAGAATATAATATTACTATGTACATGATGTACACTACTGCAATTATATTCTAAAATATTTAATGTTTATCAGCTGTTTTTGCTATAAGTTCATGAATCGTAGCCCAGGCCTTTATAATCTTGGCACTCCCTCATGAATAGCTGTTTGGCAGCTTAAGTGTTTGAGCTTATTGCTTCTGGTGGTGGATCATTGATTTCTACGTTTCATGATGATAATGGTGATGCAAGATACAGTATAGTTATACTGTACATTAATATATTATAATAAGCTTCAAAAATGTTAAGACCACATTAGCATTTTCTTCAGGCATACGTAACATATTTGGTAAAGAAATGTATCATACATTACTGTATATGATCATATATTTTTGTATTTCTGTGTTTACTGTGAGTACCCCCATCAAAATTTATACTGTTAAATGTTATTTTATGTTTTTAGGCCTGCCTTGCCAGGAGCTCACCAGGTTCATAGGAAGGGGTACCCTATAGGCCAAGTTTAAATCAGAAGTGTCTTTTTTAAATAAATAAAGTTATGATAAAATACCTCTACAGTAGTAACCAATCATAAATGGAGGTTTGGTTAAACCCCCAAAACCCCCTGGTTACAGGCCTGCTTACCAAGTTACCTCATTCTCCAACTTCTATAAAATTGACTGATTGTTGGTAGATACTACAGGTGAGGTAGTAAAGGAGATTAATGTTGGTTTGAAATCTGTGCATGTCTTAAAATTCATTCAAAGTCTGTTGTCAGATACTACTGTATGAGGGAGGTACGGAGGAAGGTAGTAAGGCGATCTAATGCTGGTTCAAAATCTGTGGGTGTCATCAATTTGATGGATAGTATATCTGCCTACATGTACATTAACCAGGTTTTTAATTCATTTTGTTCTTTAGGCATATTGTATAAAAAATATACATTAAGTACATTCTTAAATGTAGTTTATAAGGTCATAGCAGACATAAAAAGAAACTCCCAGAAAAGGTTTTACTATAAATGGAATCTGAATGAAATATGTTGGCTATGAGCTTATCATTAATGCTCCTTAAAGGTGGTTTTCCACTAGGCGAATTTATTAGTCGTGAACAAATTTGCCCGAGTGGTTCCTTATTTTCTACTACTTGAACAAAAAGATTGGCAATGCGCATTTTTCATCAACATTGTTTCCGCTCTGCCAATGACAGATCAGCGTGCCGTTGGTATGAGTACAATCATCGGTCTGATTACACACTCATGGGCAAAACTCAATCTTTCCCTGAGCTCTGATTACCTGCTCAATATTTTGCTTTGCAAAAAGTAGAAACTGTTTGAACTACAAATTTTGGCGATGTAAACAACCACAAGCGAAAAAATGAATAATCTGGTAAAGGACTCACACATGGAAATGCATATAATCAAACACTTTGCACAAATAAATTCCCCTAGTGAAAAACCAACTTAATGTAGAAAGTAAAATCAGAGAGAAAAAATAAAATGGATACTGGTACAAGTTTCATCAAGATTGTGATAATTTGAAAATCTTCGATTTCAATTCATTCTATTCAGAATGAATGTCCATAGGGGATTGAGGAGCAGGTTGAGCCATTTCCAAGGTCAGAGCAGAGATATTGATTCAAAGCTTAATCACCATCAATGCTCATTCCCATTGATTAAAGAGATGTTACTAATTTTTCAATGCAATGAGAGCACATCTTCTGCTGGAATAAGGTTTGTTATATCCAAAGAATACTCTTAAATAATATTCTTTATATCTGAAGAATATTATTTAAGAATAACTTATGGAGGTATTATTACTGTCCAGGATATCAACACAGCAAATACACAAAATTTACAATAGCATGATGAATAAATTGTTGGAGTGCTAAGAGCTATTTTTGGAAAGATTATATTGGTTTTGATGTCTCCTCCATCAACTCAGCCTCACATGTCTCGTTGCGATTTCACTTTGTTCATCTTCTTCCTCATAACACATCATCTTTATTAGTCGATAGCATGCAGTCAGTTTATCCAAGTCATCCCTTCATATGTTTTTGTATAGTTACATTGATATGTAACAGTATGTATATCTTATGTTCCTATTTGAGCACTATTATTATTATTATGTATTTGTTCACATGTGTATATATCTGTCTCTTATACACATCTAGATGTGTATAAGAGACAGATGTAC